TCTGTGTCTCTGTCTGTCTGTGTCTCTGTCTGTCTATGTCTCTGTCTGTCTGTCTGTGTCTCTTTCCATCTCAGTCTGTCTCTGTCCATCTCTGTGTGTCTCTGTGTCTCAGCCTGTCTCTGTCTGTCTCTGTGTCTCAGATGTGGGACGGACAGAGTGCACTGTATCCATCTCTGTCCTTCAGGGCTGCAGATGCTTCTGTGGTCGCCATGGTAACTGTTGCTATGAGCTGTTGCTATGGGCTCTCTGAGAGCGAGGTTAGATAACAGGACGTTATATAAACATGGAGGAGTCGCAGAGACACGTCCTCACCTTCTTCTTCTCTTGTCTCGTTTGACAGTAGAGCGACTGTAAACAAAACAAAGAACCAGCGGCTCACAGCGCCCTCTAGCTGAAGACAGGGTTCATGAATGAGGATGTTTTATTATACGTTGTTGTCAGAGTTGATTGTGATGAACTTATATTAATTTAAAGCTCCAGTGTGAAGATTCAGGTGGATTTATTTAATAATCCTCATGATGTGTTCACTAGTTCGATTCATCGAAATTGTTTGAACTGTAGTTTTCTTTACCCCAGAAAATACTTTATATTTAAATACTTTATATTTACATCGAGGGAACCCTCTCTACGGAGGCCGCCATGTTTTTTACATTAGTCCAGACTGCTAACCCAAGGTTTGTTTTTCATCTCAGCGTGTGCCCCCCCCCCCCCCGGGTGGTGCAGTCACATGGTTTAATCAATCCCATGGTGCATTTCACAACCAATCACAAAGCTTCAAATGTTTTATTTCTACGATCGGTTCTGGATCATCCTGTTACTACGGTGATGGGTTTGAGTCATTCAGGCTCGGCTCTCTGAACTCTAAGCTGATTGGTTCTTTCTCCACAGCAGCTGAGGCTGATGGGTATTGCAGTATTTCGATGAGACTGACTCTGTGTTGTTGTGTTGTCTCTCAGCTCCTGGCGCCGGCAGTGGATTGGTTGGACTTTCTCTCCTCCGCTCTGTCTCCTCTGGAGCTGAACGACACTGAACCTGTCGTCCTGAACACCAGAGAGTTCATCCAGCAGGTGTCCGAGCTCATCAACAAGACCGACCGCAGGTCAGAGTCCAGCACTGTACACACTCTGTCATATAGACACACATTATATATATATATATATATATATATTATATTAAAAAACCTGCATCAGCTCCCGACTGGAAATAAAGACGACGACTCGTCTCCACTTCCTCCAGAAATGAAGCTAAAATATCTCAGATACAAACGCTGCCATCTTGTGGTGATGACGTCATTTACAGTCAGAGTCTGTGCAGTAGTGATCTTGGGGTGGAGCTGTGGTATTGAGGTCCCGCCCACACACTATCGACCAATCCTGAGTCAGTGTCAGCTGTCAATCATGACGTCTGTTTTTCTGTCGTCACTAACTGATCAGAAACATGGAGGAACATCAGAGAAGAGAACGAGCTGAAACGACAGAAACATCTTTACAAACATTTATTTAACGTCTACTTTGATTCTTCAGTTGGGTCCATGTCCCGTCTGCTAACATGGAGGAGGAGGGTTGATTACACTGCAGCCAGACAAAAACACGTTGGCTTCACTTTTGGGAGCTGTCATGTCGTCCACCTTTTTTACAGACTGTGGTTCACAAGCAACTAAACATGCAAAACAAGCTAGCTGGATGGTGTTTTCATATTGTCCACCCAGCGCCACCATCAGGTCAATTTCTTATTTGTCCAATGTTTGTGAGCAAAGAAAGGCAGAGCTAAAGAAACTCCCATCAGCCTCAGCTGTGTTCACTGTGAATCACAGATGTTAGCATGCTAACAGGCTAAAGTAAGATGTCTGTCTCCTCAGCGTGTTGAATAATTACATGATGTGGAACCTGGTTCAGAAGAGTGTGGCCAGTCTGGATCAGCGCTTCGAGGACGCTCAGGACAAACTGCTGGAGAGTCTCTATGGAACCAAGAAGGTAGATACTACTGCCACCTGGTGGTACTGCTGAGGAAACTAATCAATGAGACAAGGAACAGCTTGTTCTAAGTGACTGTAACTGGTTTAACTGGTTCTAAGTGACTCTAACTGGTTCTAAGAGACTGTAACTGGTTTAACTGGTTCTAAGTGACTGTAACTGGTTTAACTGGTTCTAAGTGACTGTA